TTTCTTGAAAGATTTCAATTTTCATTCCATCAATTCCTGGAGCCTTGTTTTTCACCAGTGCCTTCAGTGCAGCTTATACTTCTTCCTTCCATACCATTGGCTGTGGATAACGTACAACCTCTTGAAATGGTTGACTATCGACCAAATTTCTTTTTGGTATAGTGAAGTGTATACCAACTTCCATCTTCTTTTGATGCTTTCCATATCATCCAATCTTTTGTCCATAGATTCCTTCAATACAACAAGTAAAAGCTTGAATTTTTTTTCTTCAGTTCTTTTAGCTTGAAAACTGTTGAGCATGTTCTTCACTTTGGTTTTCTAACTCCAGGTCTTTGAACATTTCATTACAATAATTAACTTTGTTTTCTCAAGCTGACTTTTGAATTTTCCTTTCATTTCTTCCATTTGCTTTAGTATCTCTGTGCTGTAGAGCAAGTTTCAGAGTTCCTTCTGACATCCATTTTGGTCTTTTCCTTCTTTCCTGTCTTTTTTAATGACATTTTTGCTTTTTTCATGGATGATGTTCTTGATGTCACCTCACAGTTCTTCTGGTCTTCATTCATTAGTGTTTAATTCATCAAATTTGTTATTGAGATGGTCTCCAAATTTAGGTGAGATATGCTCAAGGTAATATTTTGGCTCTCATGTACTTGTTTCACTTTTCTTCAGCTTCCACTTATACTTGAATATGAGCAACTGATGGTTTTTTCCTCAGTCAGCCCCTGACCTTGTTTTGGTTAATGATCTTGAGTTTTTCCATCACCTTTTCCCACAGATGTAGTCAGTTTGACTTCTGTGTATTCCATCTGGTGAAGTCCATGTGTATAGTTGCTTTTTATGTTGTTTTAAAAAGGTATTTACAACAACAAAAAAAGTCATTTGACTTCTAAAATTCTATCATACAATCTCCAGCATCATTTCTATCACCAATGCCATATTTTCCAACTGCTAATACTTCCTTTTTTTCCAAACATTTGCACTTCAATTACCAATAAGGATCAATGCATCTTGATTGCATGCTTGATCAATTTCAAACTATAGAAGTAAGCAGAATTCTTCAATTTTATCAGCACTGGATTCAGTTTTTGTTCATAAATTTGCACAACAGATGTACTAACTAGTCTATCTTGTAGATGTATGGGTACTATACACAGACAGCGATGTACTTCAAATATTTCATCTTGACATATTTTGTTTGTTTGTTTTGACAATATATGCAGCATCATTCCTCTTAAATTTGTTTTTCTTGGCATATAAATCACATGACTGTCAGATTCAAAATGGCCAATACGAGTCCATTTCAGATCACTGATGCCTAGGAAAACAATCTTTATGCATTCCATTTGATTTTTGACAACTTTTAATTTTCCTATATTCATACTTCATACATTCCATGTTCCATTTATTAAATGATGTTCACAGCTTTTCCTCCTCATTTCAAGTTGTACTCCATGAACAAATGAAGGTGCCAAAAACTTTAATTCATTCGTGTCCTCCTGACCATCTCTTGTTTCAGGGGCAGCCCTTCCCCAGTCATATTTTGAGTGACTTCCATCCTTAAGGGCTCATCTTCTGCAAACATCCATTAATAATTGGAACGTGGGATGTATGAAATACGAATCTAGGAAAAATGCAAGTTGTCAAAAATCAAATCTGATAATGTTATGCTACTATTCATGATGCTTTCATCTCTCAGAACTGTATCTGACAAAGTTCCACTGAATTCATAACATTTTCCATGGTTAAACTTCAGAAGTAGTTTTCCTCTCCTTCCTAATCTGTCTTAGTCTGAGAGCTCTGCTAAAACCTGTTCACAATGGATGACCCTAATGGAATTGCAAATGCTGGTAGCATAGCTTCCTCTATCACAGCAGCACACAAGCCACTAGAGCAGGACAAACATCTATATACATGCATTTCTTAATCTTTTCCGGGAGATACTAATAGCAGTAATACCTATTTGCCAAAAGCCAACAAAAGTGCTTCTAAGTTCCATTTTTGAATAAAAATAACCAGAACTCTTAAAAAACAAACAAACAAACAAAAAAACAGAGTTCCTTAAAGCAGCTATTGATTGATTTTAGAACGAGAGCAAAGAAAACAGAAGATGAGATTGGAACATTTCATGATTACAGAAAATAAACAATGGATCTAAAAAAGGGGACTTGTTAAATAATGCAGGTGCCAACCTTAAGGAAAATCTCATTGTCAAACCTGGAACAATTTGATCATCAAAATAAATAATAATTGTTACGCAGTCAATTATTTCATATGGTTCCATTACCCATAGTCTTTGTAATCCCCATCAAACAATTTTTTTCCTAATGGGTCTGGTTAAAAGAAGATGGTGATAGGATGATATAATTCAGTTGTGAATAACTGTTAATAGGGATAATTGTGATTGTGAAAACTTGGAACTTTAACATGGGTATAAAATGAGCCATCTCAGAAGCAGGGAGGTGTGATGTCACCACCATCAAGTAAGAAGATCCAGGGGTGGGATATTTCCTTCAGACCTAGAAGACCTAGAGAAGGTATTTCCTTCAGACCTAGAAGACCTAAAGAAGGTATTTCCTTCAGACCTAGAA